TACAAATACTCTACTGCATAGGTTCTATGATTATCCCCATTTTATAGATGAGGAGCCTAAGACTTGTAGATGTTAAGTCTCTTGCCCATACAGATAGTAATTGGTAGAGCCCAGGCTAGATGCCAAACATTGACTCCAGAGCTCACCCATTTAACCACTGTTTATCCCAGGGTCCTTAAGTACAAGAGAACTAAAGAATATTTCAGCTTTAGAATAATAAAAGCTTCTTATGTGCAGGCACTGCTCTGTGTACTTTACGTGCACTAACTTGTCTAAGCCCATGGAAATCCTATGAGAAGGTGCTGTGACTGCCTCGATCTTAGAGATGGGATCATTGCAGCACAGATTAAGCAGTGTGCTCAAGGTCCCACAAGGTGGATGTGGACTTGAATCCGGGGGCTGTGGCTCCAGAGCCCACCTCTTAACGGCACTATACAGCTTCTCTTAAAGCATAAGGGAGAGAAATAAATCAAACAGAACTGAAAGTTTCTAGTCACTGTCTGTGGGCAGAAGGCAATGTTGGGTTGGGCTAAGAGCAGTGGTGTGCTGTTAAACTGCACTCTCCCCCCCACCCCCCACCGCATCCCACCCCCAGCAAAGCACCCTGGTTAACGACATTTGACAGTTTTTGGTGTAAGTATTTGGTGTAAACACTTCCACCTTGGCTGATTTCAAGATATTAACTAGCTGATAAAATTCCTGAATGTTTAACAATCGCCTCTCAGGATTTGCCCAATGAGAAAGGACAGCCTAGTTCAAGTCTAACTTTTCTCTGAGGTCCTCTCCAAACCCTCCAGCCCTCACAGAGCACCCCTTTTGCTGGATTCTTATGGCACTCGGAACGTGTGCCGCTGACTTGGCATTTCATCGTCCAAGGTCTCAGGTCATTATCTCATTCAAGTGGGAACATCTTGTCTCTCAACAAGGCTGCAAATAGCCTCCAGTAAGGACATGTTGTACTTCCCAAGGCGCGAGAAATGCTTGGTGAATTGGACGGAGTCACTCCTCCAATGTCCTTCCAGTTGGCAAAGGCAGGCCCACGGCATGCCCTCTAGAGGGTCCTGCTCCAGACTTTAAGGCAGGGATACTGGCCGCTCCTTATCTTGGCTGTCTGCTCTTCTCCACACACCCTCCTTAGCTGCCCTGCCTCAACATCCTAATTCTCTTACCCTTTCTCACCTGGCAAACACAAATCTGGCAGCTTCTCACCACCTTCCGGATGGAACTGACTAGCTCTCTGCAGCCTGTTCCCAGAGAACTCCTGGACCCTGGTAAGCGAGAAGTGGCTTCCCTGGTACTCTGTCCTCGAATGTCATTGTGAGCATCTATTGTCCTGACCCCCTCAGCGCTCTCCCCATTAACTGCCTTCTCTGAGGAGGAATCAATCAGCCCTGTAAGCATTCTCTTGGGAGGCCTGGGGACTGACTGATGGGCCTCGTTGTTTTATTATTGGTCAGGGTAGGTTAAGTAATTCCAGTCAATAAATTTTACAGGACTTCCCAGATTGCTCATCCAGAGGTGAGACCAGGCGCTTTCACCTCAGTAGATTTAGATCCCTGCCTCTATAAAAAGCAGGAGAAGCAGCTTGGTTTCCTTTTGTGTTTTGTTGTTGTTTTTGTTTTTAACTTTTTTATTGAATTTACTGGGGTGGCATTGGTTAATAAAATTATAAAATTGTTTCAAGTGTACAATTCTATAATGCATCCTCTGTATATTGTATTGTGTATTCACCACCCCACGTCTTGATTTCCTTTAGAAAGAATCTCTTCATGTCCTTGAGCCTGTCACAACTTAAATCAATACCTTTGACAGCTTCCAAGAAATCCATTGCCTTTGGAGTGTCTGCACCCTGCTACCCTGCTCTCCTGGCACACACTTCTAGACGCCTGTGCTAAACCCGTAAAAGGAGGATTAACACCGCTGCCTGTCCTGTCCCTGGGGACCAGGCACTCCTCTCTGCCGATGGTCCAGACCTTTCCCCTTCTTCTACCATTCTCTTCCTCCTGTCCCACTGTCCCAGGTGTCTCCTCATCCAGGTCTCCTCATAAACTCCCCCTGCTCTCCGCCTCTCACCTGCAGGGTTCTGTGTGACCAGGCCAAGGTAGCCACAGAGGAGCCGGTCGCCCTTGTCATTTTGAGGGCGGATGTGGTAGGCCTTCTAGATGGCACTTTGGTGTGTTCACAGGAACACGCCAAATAGGAAACAGGGGACATCACAGTGGTAGTAACAGTGGTAAGAGTAATAGAATACCTCAGTAAATACCAGGACACCATGGGTAGATCATTTTAACATCCCTCTCCTCAACATGACGACTTTCAGCAGCAACCATGAAATGAAACATGATACTAGTGGCCAGAAAAAGAATGCAGACAATAAAAGTTTTCTTTTGTTGAGCCTCATATATGTAATAGTGCCAGCAACAATAACTAAGTCTGTGTGAAAACATAAAAAATAGAAAAAGTAACGGATTTGTTTTAATTATATCAATACTTTGTGAAACTAGGACAAAGATACCTACATATCAATCAGTCTGTTGAAGGAATGAATACTATTACATTTTCTATTTTCCAGGCTTAGCCTCCACAAATTTATTAATGACTTTGTCAAGACTGATCTTCACATATTTATGTTCAATAGGCAGTGTGTTGATCTATCTCCATTCTTAGTTAATTTTCATTTAGAAAAAAAAATTGTTTTACAGGAATCAACAGATAGATAGGAAATCTTAAACACAAGAATAAGTTTGTCGGAGATTCATAAAAATTTCACATCATGGTTCATTTCAGAAGTTGCAATGCTGTCCATGTATTTGTTTCTATGGAATCAATTTTAGCTGCTTTTCAAACATCTCCACAGTAAAAAAAAAAAAAAAAAAAAAAAAAATTCTGTTAAAATTTCTTCACCAGAAAATTCACAATGGATTTCTATTATAGTTGGTAAATTTCTAAAGCTTCTCTTCAGAGAAAATGGCTGACTGACAGTGAAATTAGAATGATTTGGTATATTGCTTTAAAACAAGTGTTCCCTTCTTAATGAAAACAATCCAGCATTTAAAAACTGTCCTTCTGAGTTCCTCTGGTGTGATCACATGGAACACAAAATGGAACTGACTGACTTCTATTCTGTTCCCTCATGTTTACAATCATGTTCCGTTGTTGCATATTTTGCATTTATTGTTCACACACAGGAATACATGGTTCCACAGGATTCAGAATTGAAGGGTTCTAGATCCTTAGGTACTTGTTCTGGAAAGAAATGCTTGCGGTGGTGAGTCCACTTGAGACAAGGGTTAAATTTCAAATTAACTTTCATGTGGAATACAATGTTCATGAACAGATAATTTATTAACATGTGTTCATTGGAAGCTTACATATGTATTATTAAAACTCAACAACAACCAGAGCAATTATTTAGAACTTAGGACAACAAAAGATTTTTTTCAAGGAGGGTATTTTTATCACTGACATTGTTCAGAATTGTCAATGCATACTGATAATAAAAAGCAGACTGGATTTTAGTTTGTTTTATTATTGTTTTAAAATTTGCCACAGATAATGCACCCCTTTATTGCCTGTATTGTGATGGGCAGAGTCCACTGCCTGCCTACCCCTGGGGCCCCACAGCTCAGATGAGTCTGGCTTTCAAAAGCCTGTAAAGACAGACTTAGTGACAGAACTCACAAAGCAGAGGCCTGGATCCAAGTTAGGGACCTATTCTGCTTGGTCTATAATGAGAGAGAGAGAGAGAGAGAGAGAGAGAGAGAGAGAGAGAGAGAGAGAGAGAGAGAAGGAAAGAAGGAAGGAAGGAAGGAAGGAAGGAAGGAAGGAAGGAAGGAAGGAAGGAAGGAAGGAAGGAAGGAAGGAAGGAAGGAAGGAAGGGAGAGAAACAGCCTTGACTGGTGTGGCCCAGTTGGTTGAGCCCATGCACCAAGATGCTGCCAGTTGATTCCCTATCAGGTCACATGCCTGGACTGTAGGCTGGATCCCCAGTAGGAGGCATGCAGGAGGCAGCTGGTTAACCTGTTAACTGAGCGGGATGTATAAATACGTCAAACATAAACAATATCGGGGACGGGTAGGACATATGAATACGTCCTTGAAATACATGTTGCACCCTGAAAGGTATTAGTCATCCATACATGTCTCGACATGAATTTAAGACACGGAGAGAATCAGTATAATTTCGCTAGTGAGAGTGGTAGACGTGTTCAACAAGAATTGTTTTGGAGTTAACACATGACTTACTGAATAAAGGGTATAGGATTTACTTAGATAACTTCTATACGTCAATTCATTTGGCTGAACTCTTGTGTCAAAACAATACAGACATTGTTGGAACAATGAGGATAAACAGAGTCAGAATCCCCAGTGAAATAAAAACAAAAAAATTACAGAAAAATGAACATATAGTAAGATTCAAAGACAAACTTATGGTTTTAAAATGAAAGGATAAAAAAGATGCTCAGTTCTATTCATAATGACGAAAAGACAATGATTGAAAAGAGAGGAAGAAGGCAAGAAAAACCGAATGTTGTCTTGGATTATAACAAGAATATGGGCGGCGTAGATTTGGGAGATGGAGTTATGGTGGCCTACACGGATGCCGGTAATAGGATAAAAAATTTTTTATAAAAATATTTTTCTACGATTAATTGATGTGTGCTGCTTCAATGCATATATTATATACAAAAAAGATAAAGGTCATTTGGATCGGTTACACTTTTTGATAGAGTGTGTAGAGAAATTGGTAGATAACAACATAGTGAAAACCCACCCAAAGACATCAACAAGCAGCTCTACATCTAAACCATCACGCTTAGTTGAAAGGCATTTTCCAGAACAAATGAAAAGCGATATAGGAAAAACTAAATCCAGGAAATGCCGAGTTTGCTACAAAAAAAGGTGTTAGGAAAGAATCTACATACTGGTGTCCGGATAGTAAGGTAGCACTATGAATCAACAATTGTTTTAAAACATATCATACGGGAGGAGGCGCCATCATGGGAGTCGACATCCGCCACAACGAAGACCGCAAGGTCCGGCGCAAAGAGTCCAAGAGCCAGGACATCGACCTGAGGCTGTTGGTCAAGCTGTACAGGTTTCCGGCCAGAAGAACAGCTCCACTCTCAACCAAGTGGTGCTCAAGAGGTTGTTCATGTGTCGCACCAACCGGCCAAGCTGTCGCTTTTCCGGATGATCCGCAAGATGAAGCTTCCTGGCCGGGAGGGCAAGACCGCCGTGGCTGTAGGGACGATCCCTGATGGCGTGAGAACCAGGAGGTGCCCAAACCGAAGGTGTGTGCCCTTCGCGTGAGCAGCCGTGCCCGGAGCCGCATCCTCAAGGCCGCGGGCAAGATTCTCACCTTGGACCAGCTGGCCCTGGACTCCCCCAAGGGCTGTGGCACTGTCCTGCTTTCTGGTCCTCGCAAGGGCCGCCAGGTGTCCAGGCATTTCGGCAAGGCCCCAGGAACCCCCCACACCACACCAAACCCTACGTGCGATCCAAGGGCCGAAGTTCGAGTGTGCAAGAGGCCACCGGGCCAGCCGCGGCTACAAAAACTAACCCTGAGTCCTGTCATGTTATTAAAGAGGTTTTGGACGCTGAAAAAAATAAATAAATAAATAAATAAATAAATAAATAAATAAATAAATAAATAAAATATATCACACGGAAGTTGAGTTTTGAATTTTTATATCTATATTTTAATTTTTTAAACTCAATATTTCTATCTTATTTGTGTGCTTTTGTTTATTGTTCTGTAATTGTTAACTTTTTTGTATTTTTTATTGTGTATCAAAATAAAAAATATATATTTTTTGTAATTTTTATAATTGTTTGTAAAATTTATAATTTTTTAATTCGATGTTTCCATTTTTTTGTTGGTATTCTTTTTGATTTGTTTGTAATTTTGTATTTTCCTTTCTGCTTTATATATAAATAAACAAAAAATATATATATATTGTAGTCTTTTATTTATTTTAAGTATAAATTAAAAATAATAATAATATGAAATTACATCCTCGGGGTGTGACGTACTGACACGTCCTAGTGAAAGAGTACGCGCCTGTTATATTTGTGTAATTAAAAAGGGAATTCCCCGGTTAACAGGTTTTAATGTTTCTCTCCCTCTTCCTTTCTCTTTCTCTCTAAAATCAATGAAAACATCTTTTAAAAGGACATCTCAAAGTCTTTTGTCACTTGCTCACAATTTGCCACAGTTCCTATCCCCCTCTTTTTTATCATACAGAGGCTAATTTGCCCAGAACCTGTCTGGAACCTGGAGGCATCTGAGCAGTGACTCCTACTTCCTGACTTTGTTTCTATAACTGTCCTGATAGCGACCGAAGTGTTTTCCAGTTACACAGCTCACCTGCCTCCTCCTCACCCTCAGCTTCACCACCTCAGAGGCCCTCTGCCCTCTTTTTAACCTCGTGTTGTTTTCCCTTCCATCTCATCTCACCACTGCCACTCCACTTCCAGAAGGAGGCCCTTAGGTCAGCACGAAGTGCTCCTTGAGCATGACTCTGACGACTGCCTTCCTTGGAGTGGGGAACTTTGATTTTCAGCTTCACCTGTGACGCTCAGGGAGGCCAGCTGCAGCATGGAGAGCATGCACTCACCTTCCCAGCAAGGGGCTGGCTCCCCAGGTTGGCAGGTGGGGAACAAAGGGAGAGAAACCATTTTTAAGCTCTGTACATGCATGCTTGGCTTACTTGAACCTCATGCACAACACCTTCCTGGTGAGGATTTAAAAAAAAAAAAAAAAAAAAAAAGGAGCTCTGTGAAAAGTAACCTCACAGGGTGATCTGATCATAAATTCCTAACTAGGTAGGTCATGGTGAGTAGTCACACCCCAAGCATGTAACTTTTTTAAAATTTTTTATTGATTTTTTTTTTACAGAGAGGAAGGGAGAGGGACAGAGAGCTAGAAACATCGATGAGAGAGAAGCATTAATCAGCTGCCTCCTGCACAACCCCCACTGGTAATGTGCCTGCAACCAAGGTACATGCCCCCGACTGGAATCGAACCCGAGACCCCCCATTCTATCCACTGAGCCAAACCGGTTTCAGCACATATAACTTTTTTAGTAAAAGATTTATCTTCGCCTTAAGCAAGCCCTGTTTATTGTTTCTATGCATCTAGGTTAACATACCTTCTTTTTTTCTTTAAGTATATTTTTATTGATTTCAGAGAAGGGAAGGGGGTTGATTTCAGAGAGGGAGATGGGAAGTGAGATAGAAACATCAATGATGAGAGGCAATCATTGATTGGGTGCCTCCTGCAAGCCCTCTACTGGGGATCAAGCCCACAACCCAGTCATGTGCCCTAACCAGGAATCTGAATCATGACCCTCTGGTGAACCTTAACCACTTATCTACACCGGCCGGGAAACATACCTTAGAAATAAACCATAACCACTCTCAAGAGAGCACATAATCTTGTTAACCATCCTGTAATTCAATCCCCATTTGCTTTCTTCACCTCCTGTAACCTTGATGGTCCCTCCATAATTTCAAATGCGTAGAAGAAATTGCAGCCCAGCCAGTGCGGCTCAGTGATTGAACGTCAACTCATGAACTAAGTGATTATATTTTCGATTTTCACTCAGGGCACATGCCTGGGTTATGGGCTTGATCCCCAGTAGGGGACATGCAGGAGGCAGCTGATCTGTGATTCTCTCTCATCATCGGTGTTTCTATTTCTCTCCTTCTCCTTTCCTCTCTCTGAAATAAATAATAGTAAAAAAAAAAATAAAAAAATAAAACATATTAAAGGAAAAAGAAAAGAAAATGCAAACTGTTATTCTCCAGAGCATTTGAGATCTTGCTCCATAGCATATGTCATCAGTTCAGCTCAAATAAACCCATAAAAATTCTCTACAGGTTTGGATGTTCTTCCATTGACACTGGCCAAACTACTTCAGATCCACTTGAACAATGACTTTCAGCCATTGTTGGGCTGGAGCGGGCTCATAACAACTCCTGAGAGATGATTATTAAATACTCTGGAATTTTATCAGATAGGAGATATCTTGAAATCAGAGAGTAGATATCTTGAAATCAGCCAAGATGAAAGCGTTTATACCAAGGAAATTGGCAAATGTAATAAAGCAGGACCTTTTGTGTGTGTGTGTGTGTGGAGGGACAGTTTACCAGCATACCGCTTCTGTTAGGCCAACCCACCATTTCCTTCTGCCCATAGACAATGACTAGACACATTCAGTTCTGTTGGGCTTATTTCCTTCCCTTTTGCATGAAGAGAGGCTGTACAGTGCAGTTAAGAGGTGGGTTCTGAAGCCACAGCACCTGGTTCAAGTCCATATCCTACCTGTGAGACCTAGAGAACACTGCTTAATCTTTGTGCCTTGTTGATTCCCTCTCTAGGTTGAGCATCTTCTCATAGAATTTCCATGGGCCTAAACCAGTTGATACAGTGAAGTCCCTAGAGCAAGCAAGCATGTCAAACTCGAGGCTTTCGGGCCACGTGCAGCCCACAATGAATACTTTTGTGGCCCCACCAATGTAACGGTGTGCAAGAAATGTTTTAATAAAAACTTTGTAACTTGACTTTTACAATATCCTGCTATACATACTTATTAATAATGAACTATAATGTTTGATTGATTACTCTATGACTGATTACTATAATCGTGTTGCATTCGTTTCTCTTTCACGCCTTACATACAGGCACATCATTCCTCTCCACTAATACCAGCAGCAAATATTTTAGCAGCCGATGGCCACGTCATTAGTCTTGGACTGACTTGTTTGGTGTGCGCAACAGGAAATATTTTGCTTTCAGAAAACAAGAAAAATGGGTTTATTTGCGTTACACTTATTAATTTGTGCAGTTATTCGGTGACTGGTAAGGTAATGTTCAAGAAAAAATATTGATTTTTATTAAAATGTTTTATTATTTTATGTTAACAATTATTCATTTCAGCCCTTTGTATTCAGCATGTTTCTATCGAAATAAACTACTTTTCTATGAAAATGGAAGATTTTGGTTTTTTGCAGCCCACATAAACTTAAAATGTATTTATTTGACCCATGTCAGCCTTTGAGTTTGACATGCTTGCCCTAGAGTATCACCTACACAAAAAATGCGCTCCACAAACATTAGCTATTCTTATCCTAAAACTGAAATACCCTGTAGTTCTCTTATTTTGGCTGTGTAATTAAAAGATGCAAATATCTAGTAACCAATTTGAACCCCGCACAGCTTACTAAATAGAAATGTCACCAATATACCACACTTTTAAGTGAGCATCTATCAGGTCAACTCATGTCCTCTTCCTCTCAAAAAATAGCAATGACACATGGTAAAAAGCCTATTACTGCTATTATTCAAAAATATTGGTATTGGTTTTGCATCTCAGTCTCAGAATAAGAAAAAGCCTACTTTTATCTAATTTTTAAAAATAAATTCTGTTGTTTCTTTTTTTATTTTGTTTTTAAGATGCCCTTTATTTTTCACATGTTAACAGTCCTGGGATCAAGAGGGTTGTTTGGATTGATGTGTGCATCTGCATGTTTCTTTTTCTCTCCCCAAAAGCAGTTATTATATTGACCTTAAAATCAATGATGACTGAGCACCAGGAAAATGAAGGAATAATAGTCAATAGCAAAGTCGTGTCTAAGTCCGAGGCCAGTGTCATGTTCCCAAGCTCACAATGTTCCAGGGGTGGGATTCTGTCCTGTTGGGGTGGGAAATGCTCTGGATCTGTGCCCAACAGAATTTAGATCTCATCTCTTCTAACTGTGGAGGCCACCTGTCCCTACCCTTAGACTGTGTTGGTGCAGACATGGCCCAGACGTGGATGATTTTATTTGCAAACACTGGTCCTCACCGTGCACCATCCTCAGGGCTGGGATCTGACCACCAAAGAGGAAGGCACTAAGGCAATGTGAAAGCAGACGTGGAAGAAGGAACCAGGCTCCAGGACGCGGGCAGGCCCAGGGTGCTGAGCGGAAAACACACACCTCGCGCTGACATCCTGTTTTGAGTCATCCTGCCTCCTGGTTATGCTTGCTTGGCTGCATGCCACACTTTCTCTATAATCTTGGTTTCCCCCACCTGGTGTCTTGCTTGGGCAGTTTGTGGAGTTTAAGAAAGAGAAATCAATAAGACTTGAGAAGTCTGGGAGAGCAGTTCTGCCTGTGGAGGCTCCCCGGCCACCTCCTTAGTCACTCTGGGTGCCTTTCATGGTCCCAGAGCAAGGAACCCAGTCACAGACCCTGGAGCACAGTCCTGTGAGGC